AATAATGTATCCCTCCAGGTGTTCAAAGAGCTCACAGAAGGTCATCTCAACAGACATACAAGCAGTGTCTAGAAAATGGAAGTCATCATATTAGTTTCTATAAAAGAATCTTGGGTCTATCTTGGTAATAAACTATTTAATCATCTTATGGAAGATCTATATGGTCGCATTCACAACAGATGATCTACTCGGATCAAATATGGTGGACCCTACATGAAAGTAAGACTGACTAATCCCTTAATGGTCTGCCTTCCTCCACACAGGCCTTCCTGCAGGGACCTAGCAATTAAACCTGAAAGCTGAAACTTAATCCGTGTGGAGGTGGGTATAGACCATTAAAAAGTCATGTAATTAACTATATTTTGATTTCAAGAATATGATGATAATATGTTTAATTTAAAAGAAAGTTGTGCAATTATCTGTCGGTGTCTCTGAGTCAAAAAAAAAAAATGATAAACAGTTTTAACTAGATAAATCAGATATCAAGGTTAACTCTCTTTTAGAATTGAAAGCATGCAGTGTCGTTTACAGCACTTTCCCCCAGCACCACATTTAATAATAATATTAATAATAATAATTGAGTAAAAATAATAGTATAACAATTTTTATTCAAAACACACGCACACACACACACACACACACACACACACACAAATGTAGAAATATATATTAAAAATTTGAATTCCATTGGAGCCCTTAAAGGAGAAAAAATAGTAATGATATAATAAAATCATGTAGTTGAAGTTGTAAAATTAAAGTGGTTAATAACATAGATAGTGTATTAAATGATTAAAATTAAAATTTAGAATTACAACTGTTAACTGAAAGAGGGTAAAAACTTTTCTTTAAATATCTTACTTCCTTTGAAAGTAGGAAATGCTTATAGATATGTGTAACAAATTCATGAATGCTTGACTAAAGTTACTCTTTAAGCTTTCTGCTTTGTCACACCCATATAATTATACTTACAATAGGAGAAAGCTGAAACCCACAGGTATTTGATTTTGGCATTGAAAACAGTGTTGATATTGGCAAGGCCTTCTTCTGTCTTCAACAATTCCACAGATTTGTGACTTCTTATTCCAAAGTGCTTACGGTCAGCAAACCAGGGCTGCAGGCATTCATTTACCATGCGGAGCTTTAATGCAATTAAGGAAATGGACACAATATCACTAGCACCACATACCCCATATTCTTTGTTTCAACCACATATACTGACTGATAACCTACAAAAAAACTGCCTTTTACTAAATATTGAAACTAAAGTGTGCTCTGTCAGATGCAGGATCTATTTTGGGCAAAACAGCCAGTTTGCCACCTAACATTTATGAAGAGATTTATTAAAATATACCTGTAGAAATTTTATACTAACAGAAATTAGACTAAATCAAATATAGTGAACAGATCATCTCTGAGACTAAGTCAAATATAACAAAAAAATCTTTTCACCATAAATGTTGGACTGGAAAGAGAGGCAATGGTAAGGCTATCACGCAGTTATCGTGCAGGTGCCAGAGAACAGCAGCACAGCTCTGAGTAATCTCAACTAGTGACACAAAGCCACCAGTGTCACTCTCAAGGGCGTCAATGGCAAGTTCCTTTTTTTCCCAATTTTTTTCTGGTTATTTCTTATATCTAAAAGATCTTTTTTTCACCCCTATTTTTTGGGGGTCTAGCAATAATTTTGTGTCAATTCATGCTGGTTATAGTAAAATAAAATGTGGCTACTCAGCATCTCAGTCAGTATTGAACTGTCTATAAAAGTTTGGAGAAATTTCAGTTGGTAAAACATAACGTCAATATCAATTGATTAATTATTGTCAATACCTGATTGTGCTTGGACCTACAGGTACATGCCTTGTTAAAGTACACTAAAGAAAGGGAAGAATCTTACACAAAACTTCACTTAAATTTAGATGTTAAATTGTCAACATGTATGGAATGTGAAACATGGACACTATACTTACACATACATGTATTTACTGTTAGAAAAGCTACCTTAGTTTATATTCTGTAAGCACATTTTGAAGTTAAGACCATCTATACACAGTGGGCTATACCATCCTGCTTGGCACCAGATGAGGCTCTTGCACAATCAGTTCCAAAGCTGCCTTTTTGTAAACTAACATGTTTGAGACAAATAGTAATTTTCATCACAAAATGCCTCGGTATTGGTGCATACCTGCTCTTCGTAAGGCCTTAAGTATCTTTTCTTGACAATCTCTGTCTCGGTTACCATATTGTATAAAAGGTGACTGTCGGTAATTTCGACCCAAGGGATACATGTACTTCCAAATGATCACTATGTGTACAGCCCAAGGTGCTAGACAATGATCAGTACTGTTGGCTAGTGACTCAATACAGCAACATAATATCACTAGTGTTGTTTTTTATAGTGATTCTGGCAGCCAGAAACTTTCATTTTATTATTATAATTGTCATTATTATTACGAATAACTGTTCAAGGATACAAAGTGTGTTCCGATTTCATGATCTGCTAGGCAATTGATGCCCTGTTTTCTGAGAAGTGTGTTTTCAGTAGAATCCTTCACCCACATGGTGTACTTGATGCATTCTGGCTTGTTGAGCTTGAGGTTTGGACCTTGCCAAGAAAGTCTTGCACTGTGTTAAAAGAAAGTTAAATTCATGAAAAAAGTGAAATCATCTTTAACTTGTATGGTATGAAAAAAAAAAAGAAAAGAAAAAAAAGGAAGCCACCTCCAGTGTTGTGCTTGACAAGGTTGACAAAATGCAACAACCAAAATTTCAAATTTCTGTATAAAATAACAGTTTATAACAAATTTGTGGAGATAAGTAAAATGATTAATCCAAGGTTACATAAGATTGTGTAGTCAAATTTAAGGTCACAGTAAGATTAACAATATGTGACTTCCTATTCAAGTTCAGTAGTAACTATGGGCGTACCTCAAAATTTTCATAGTACAGTCCATGGTGAAAAGTAGTTTGAAGGTCAAATTCTAGGCTACAGTAACATTGCAATTTCAAGTTTTATAGTAAATATAGACCTATCTCTGTCAATTTTTTTACTCTATGAAGTTTTCTTTTTTCAGTGACAATTTTGCCTGAACTAACCAAGTACAACAGCTAGCATGTAATTGTCTTTCCATTAATACTAACCTGCATGGTAATGTTTTGGACCACAAAATTCTCAAAGATCCATCCACATTGTTTTCTTGTATGTATTCTTTTAACATGACTGTTGCCTCTTCTGCATCAATTGGTGGTCCAAAACTTTCCTCTAAAAATGCACCACCATCCCCATACTTCATCCGCACAATCTCGAGTATCTTTTTTGCTTCTGGTAACAGATCAAAGTGTATTTCACCCTTTTTATTTGCTGTGAATTTCTCCAGCTCAGTAACTGAAGCTCGAAAGTCAAATTGAGGTGTAATGCCATATTTCAAGAACCGTTCTTTTTGCTCTGCTAGGTTCAAAGGAGTGAGAACTGTTTTTTTTAGATGATCATTTTTAGCAAAGCATATCCGATCTTTGCTGATCTTCCTTCTTGTAGCATTTACTTGAACCATGCTGCATGTAAGTCAGCCAGCTAAAATTCTCTTTGGAGGTTGTATAGGCATGTACATGTTCTCAATAACTAAAAAAAAAAAACAGAAATGTTGAATCATAAACCAGAGCTTAGAATCTGTTAACAGACAATTGTAATTTATGCTACATTTATCATATTATGTGAATTTGAGCCTCTGTTAGCTGAGACTTCTTAAAGACAAAGATTGTCTCGCAAGACACAAAAACATTTTTTCAAACTTTTGCCCATTTTCCTCCTTATATGTTTGTCACAAATTAATGGAGAGATTCAGAATCTGTTTTTTCATCTCTCTCAAATTTTAACTCTCCTGCATGGCATTTTATTACTGCAAAAATAATATCACTTATAGTTAAGAAATGATAATAAAGCTGTAAATAAATGCTAAAAATGTAAAAAGTGTGAGCTGCAACAGAAGTCAACCTTTTATTTTTGTCACATTATGAAAATACTGTCCATATGATATCTGTTCAATGTTTTGCTTGATATCTGGCAAAATAGGTGAGAAAAGGAGGAATCATTGTAAGGGACATCGGTATTGGGAAATAATTTGTTTGTAATAATATTAAATCTTCATATTATATATGCATTCAGTGGATCTTATGGTGTTTCTATTGAAGCATAAATGGTAAAAATTCACACATTTGAATTTAGAATATGTCAGTAACTTAAGATAATATTTCACACCTTAGAAGTTCGAATTTTACTGTTCTTGAAACAATATTTCAAGCCTGGTAATCTTTTTGAGGTACATTGTAGATCATTGTAAGGAGTCCTTGTGTGGCGGGGAAAAGGCATGAAGCATTTTATGGTAAAAGGTTCTCTTTTTTTAACAGTCCTTTAAAAGGTAGAATAAAGAGACATGAGTAAAAATGAATAAAATTTTTCTGGTGATACACCCTAAGAGGTAGTAACCAGGTCAAGTTCGCGATTTCCAGGTGGATTCCACAACAAGGCTATGGTTTGGGGCAACTACCACAGTGACAGAAATAAAACAGTAAAGACTCCGCTACATGTCTGCTGTGCCCCCCCCCCCCCCCCCCCCCAATTTTTAAACAGGCCCCCAATTTTTAGAACCGAAATGCAACTGATATGTAACAGGTGTTTGTTCCACCAGGGATCCAGGTTTTGCTGCTTTATGGTGATCACTTCCAGTGCATTTAAAACCGAGAACATGTACATTTTTACAGGTGTATTAGGGGAGGTTGTAAGGCCGAGTCAAGTACATGTACCGATCGTATGCAATTCAAATCCATGGATTGAATTGTATAAAAGAAAAGATAAAAAGTTCAAGTAAACCAGTGCTTCATACCTGCTGAGATTTGTGTTACACGTTCGTCAGGCGTGAAAACCAGCAGTGCCTTTTGTTGTTTTTCGTGCTTTCGTTGCTACACAGAGAGATCTCGCGGGAGATTGTGTGAGTTTGGTGTGAACTGCTCTTCACTTATTGGAGGGGTAAATGCTACACACCGGAGACAGTGTCAATTTCCGGTGCCTGTTGTCATCCTTGCTAAGAGGTAAACTTTACTTTATACACAGAGAATACATTTATTCTGACCAGCGCGACTGTGCATCGTCGCCATTGACATCCAGCACATCTGCTTAATAATAATAATAATAATAATAATAATAATAAAATAATAATACATTTCTTAAAACCGCGCTACACGTGTCTCAGCGCTCTTTAAAACTTTACATATGATAAAAACTACATGTAAAAGTAAAACTACTAACTTAAAGATAAATTAAAAACTAACATTAAAGTATTTAAAACTAAAAGGTAAAAGCTAACCAAAATATTCTTTAAATAAAAGGTTTTAAAATTCTTTTTAAAACGGTGATGAGAGTCATTCAAAGACACATTTGATATGTTAATAAAATTGGACCATAAAAATTGGTGCAGTAATGTCAATTAAAACTCCTGTGAGCATATGTTTTGAGAGTCTTATCGGTATTGTTTCGTTCGAGTTGCAATTGACCATTGAAAGGAGTTAAAAGTTCCATTAAATTGCTCATGTAAAATGGATAGTCGCCCTTTAAAATATTAAAAGTCAATGACATTGCCTATTCTTTGAGTTGAGAAGTCACTAATGCATGGATGAGTAGCTCTGTTTGCTTGCTGTCAATAAGTTGAAGAATTTTAGATATTAGCTGGAGACTAGAAAATGCTGATTTACACACTTTGTTAATGTTTGATCAAGATGTCATGTTACTTTTATTGTTGAAAATAACTTCTTTGTTTGTTGTGATAACAGAATCTCCTACATGTACTCTGATACCGTCTATCTGTAGTATGGTGCTGTCTCTGGAAAACTTAGAGTTGAAGTGGACCAATTAAGTTTTATCATCATTGAAGACTATAAGTAGTTGGACTTGAGCCAAGATCGGAGTTCATACACACATGCCTCAATAGTTGCTTTTTCATCATAGGATTTTCACATATATATAGATCTATCTGGGAATCAATTCATCCGCATACAACATCAAATTGAAACCAAACCGAGGGAGTACAGGTATATTCTGGTGAAGTGTAAAGAGAATAGGGCAAGCATGGAGCCTTGTGGCTCGCCATAAAGTAGTTTGCCTGATTTGGAAACAGAAACCCCTATGTTCACTTGTTGCTGGCTTCCAGTTAGGTAAAAATGAAACCAGGAGAGAACTGTACCCGTTATCCCAAAATAATGAGCAAGTCAATGGAGCAGTATGTCATGATCAAGAGTATCAAAAGCTGCTGATAAATCAAGGAGTATTAATACAATGTGCACCTTAAGTGGAGCTGTCTCTGTGCTGTGGTTTGGTCTATAGGCAGATTGACATTTTGTATTTAAGGAATATCTACTAAGATAGTCATTTTTTAGAAATGGGAATTTTCTGCAAAAAAATATTTATTTGTGCCAATTTTCGGAAACTACACAGACCTAAGCTCTCGTATTATGGTGAGGGGTTACAATTAGGGTCTCCTTTCATCTTTGGGAGTTTGGGGTCAATCCGTGCATTTTCACGTTGTTTGGTATTTTTAAAGTTCTCCTTTGTGTTTGACTGAATGACTAGTGATGACTCTTCTGTGGTTCACTCCACCTCATGCTCCCCAGAGTTTCTTAGTGATGTTAAGATCTTTGATTGTCATCCATATGTCGTTTGATAATTTGTTTTTCCATTGATGTCAGTAAGTAGGCCCCTTGAGTAAGTCCACTTGTTGATAGAACAAAGGTTCATTTAGTCTATTAGGTGTCCCTCGATATAGTTTCAAACCGTTTCCATTTTTGTAAGTGTTCTTTCTGTTTATAGATTTTTCTGAAATCCGTAAGTATAAATTAATTGATATTGAAGATCGGTAAAAGAGTCAGATTTTCACTTGTCAGTAAAAAGCATGACTCTTTGTCTTTTCAGAACAATTTTTACCTTGTAACCAATAGGAAGGCCCATATTGCTGGTAATAGAGCTAATTCGATATTGATGTTTTTGTAGGGATCGTCTTTGTTCTTTAGCAGTACTCACTCAGGCTCTTTTATTTTTCCTATGGGGCCATTCAGAAAAGAAGATCCAAGTATTAACTGATCCAAGCATCAAATATGGCAGACCCTACATGAAAGGAAGACTGCTTAATCCTGTAATGGTCTCTCCACTTCTCATACGCCTCCCCATGCATCGTCCCTGCAGGGGCACAGTAATTAAATGTTGGCTCCATTCGATTGGATGCATGGGGAAGTGTGTGACAGGTGGAGAGAATGGTTCACTGCCACTCGCAGCACTATCTTCCATTCTCCAATCGGTCTAGTTGTTTTTTTTTTTTAATCAATGTAGAAAAATGCAATTTGTCAAGAAGCGAGTATGATGTTTAAGGTCTCAGAAAATGTCTAGAATGTTTATTTTAAATAATGCAATAAATAGCTTGCAGCTACTTTTGCAGTGTCATTTGGCATAAAAAATCTTCACCTTTTTCACAGGTCAATATCTTTAGTTGTTAATGTTTGATGTTTTTGTAATATTTTATCCATTTAAAATATCTTTCAGATACATCCATGATTAGCAGATGATATGGTGACAAATGTTTTACATGAAACGCAGAAATACTGCATTCTCTTAGAAAGTTATTTGCAAAATCTTCGTCACCAGGCATTGTGAAAATATACTTGAAGTTAGGGACAAATTCCTCAGTAAATTAAACGTGCATCTCGTAATACCTCTTATGTGCGTGTAGTCTAATTTTTAACATTAGAAACCTGTAAATAATGTATAATAGCTATGTTATTCTTTAAAAACTTTCATTACTCAAACTATATTTTTCCTTGCTCTAACCTTTGTTACTGAATATGAAAACTGCACATACTACCAAGGCATGTACAGAAAGACGTTTGCATGATTAGACACACACACACACACACACACACACACACACACACACACAAAAATTTATCAATTTCAGTCAGATGAAGTAAAATTGGCGAATATATTTTTCACTTAATTTTTCATTTTTCTGTTTACTTCAAAGTGGACGTATTTATTGATAATATCTGTTTATACTAGCAGGTAGTAGATAAACCTGTTGTAATTACTAGTCATAATTTAGCAGCCTTTTTCTGTACAACTAAAAAGGGTAAATCCATAGCTACCATTTAATTTAAAATGAGCTTTATCTTGCTGGTGGTACAATTCCTGGTAGCAGTATGGCTGCTCTGTTCTGCAGTTAGTATTGTAATTTAAATGGAACTGTATATTGAATAATTTGCATTAGTCATTTTGTAACAAACAGGCACTTTAGGTGAAATACTGACAATGGCAGATAATCTTGATGAAGATGATGATATTCCCCAACTGTCAGCTGATACTTTGAAAATACTTCAACAGTTTTATGATGAACAGTCAGCTCTTCATGATAAGCAGATCGGAAACCCAGATATCATGCCTCAGGAGGACTGGGTATGAAGCATACTTAATATCCTTGATATACATGCGCTACATGTACATTCTTAATTAATTAATACTACCACATTATTGCCTTTCCTTGTTAGTAAGTTAACAGCCTAACCTAAAACAGTTTGAGTGGATTATGATAAAATTATCAAGATACAGGTCAGAGTAACTTAAACTTGATTAGATTTTCATGGGGATCCATTCACGGTTTCATTGATAATATTGAGAATTAAAATGCTTCAGAAGAGGTCTGTGCTCTTTGAAGGTTTTTCTAGTGAGATAACATTGTAGAAAAGTTGATGTTCATTCATGAAAAATTGAATTAAAAGAAGTGTGTTGTCTTTCTCAAATGTATCTCTAATGCAATATAAAATTAAAGAGAACTTTGTTGTTTGTTGTCAGATCAAGATGTATAAATAAGCATAGATTTGAATTATGGTAACGTAGACAGAAAGTAATAATAATATAATAGATAGTTTGTCTCACCTTTCACTTTGCTTTTCTTTACAGCAACTAAGTCAGTTCTGGTATAATGACAGTACAGCTTTCAAATTGGCAGAAGAGGCCAAGTATGTTGCTGGTGAGAATGGGAGGTAAGGACTTATAAGGGCTACTTGCTTTTCATAAAAGTATAACAGTGTGTCATGCTATTAAGAAAAACATCTGTTTTCTTATTTCCAATTTTCTTTTCTAGGATGGCATTCCTTAGTGCTCCAACTGCCTTTAAGAAGCTCTTAGAGATCAGTCCTTCATCAGATGCAGTACTATTAGAATATGACAAAAGATTTGCAATACATGGAGACAAGTACATCTTCTATGACTACAAAAATCCCTTGGACATTCCAAGAGATTTAGAGAAGGCATTTGACATTGTGGTAGTAGATCCACCTTTTCTCTCTGAAAGGTGTCTCAAGAATACAGCTGAAACTGTCAAATTCATTTGGAAAGGAAAAGTTATCTTATGCACAGGTTTGTAAAGTTGATAATTCATAGCAACTTGTGGTTTCCATTTCTAAATATTCGCAGGATTTATCTTCATGATGGAAGAATGTCTAACTGATTGCCCAATAACTAACTGGTTTTGCCATTTTTAATTTAATGGAAAATGGATTAAATGTACATTTTTATTTACAAAAATATTTGTACAGTCAGTCAGGGCTTGACATGAACTTTGATGACCAATTGCCCTTGGTAAACATGAATTATTGTATTAATATAGAATTATTTGCAGTCTGTCAGGAGGGTGCATCTGATCCTCTGAATATCACAGATCTTATTTTAGTTTAATACTGAGTACTAGTAATCATATAAATGCCGTGCACCCTAAACTGGTAACAAGTATGTATGTTCAACCAAAATGGCCAAAAAAGGCCCAAACAATGTTCCCTAAAGTGGATGTATTCTTATATGCAAGGTTGTAATGTACAAACACAGATGTGTCCGTACATATAGCAGTCACCAATCCTGTCATCACCTTTGCTATCACCATTGCAGTGCACTTTCAACGATAACACATTGAGTGAAAAATGATTTATTATTTGTCTTTAAATTAATGGAACTGATGAACATTCATAAAATACAGATCGTGTTTGAAAATCAACATGATCAAGCCTTTTTTTTGGAAAGTTATGCCGTTTTTGTTTTTTTTTTTTTCCACTTTTTTCAGCATATATGCAAAACTGATAACACATTTCAAGGAAAACCAATAGGCCTATTGTCTTGAAACTCACAGGAAACAGGTGTGCCTGTACATATAGCCTCGCCTGCATCTGTCATCATCATGCACTTTCAGCTATAACACAATAAGTGCAAAACCATTTTACCTTTTGTCTTCAAACTTACGGAACTAAATAAATATTCATAGAATACAATTCCGGTTTTTGAAAAAGTTATGCTGTTTTTTTTTGCTTTTTGCAGCATATGTGCAAGTTGCAACACTGATAACACTGAAAACACATTACTAAATCTCACTAAATAATTCCTATCTTGTTCATCATTATAATTTGCTTTATCTCTTTACATTTGACAGTTTTGATGCCGTGTTTACTGCATATGTTTTACGTGTTTTTGCAGGTGAAATAATGGAAGAATATGTCAAGAAATACCTTGGTGCTGAGGTGTGCAGTTTTATGCCACAACATGAAAGGAATTTGGCAAATGAATTCCGCTGTTACACAAACTACAAAACTGTTGTTCTTGAGCAAACGTGATACGGCAACGACTCAACCTTATGAATGGGGAAAATTCTGAATTCTAATGATTATGTATTTTTAAATCATAAATTCTTAAATTTAGATTTTTTGGCAGGTAGCAACAAAACTGTAAAGACTATCATACAGTTCCATTCTATTCAGTGAAATCACCACAAATGCTACAAAAAAGTTGTATTTTTAGTGATTCTAAAGTTAAGCATCTGAAAATTGTTTTTCCCTATTGAAAAGATCACGTCATTAATTTTATCATGCTTATTCAAAATAAACAGGGAGAGTGGACCATACAAAAGAAGAACAGGTGATTAAATGGTAGATTCCACAAATTAAGTTAGCTTAGAGAGCAAATCGTTATGGTTATAGACATTAAGTTGGAAGTAGTTTGTTCAGGCCTACCCAACTTGGCACTGAATGATCCTGAATTTGCTGGTACATCCAATCACGCTACCTGTTTTCAAGGTGTGTATCAGTATGCATTTCACAGTGTCAAATTTTGTACTTGAATTAGAGTATAACTACTTTTCCTTGTTTGTAACTGATAAATTGCATATTCATTTGAATAAGAGGCTAAAAGGTCTGTAAACTATTACTAAGGGAAATTA